GATTGATAAGGAGAATACTTGAGGTGTATTTTCTATTATACTGAGCTTTGTTGGTTTTTTGTGGCATTTGTTGTGCTTTTTTGGGCTTTTCACATTGATGATATTCATGGGACACTTTATATGTTGAGGTTATGCCACTAGAGTGTGAGCTGGTAGTGGTTGGCTTACAGAGGTGTATGATCAGTTGGTCTAAGACCAGTATCATTTTATTATGTTGATCTTGGAGTTCAGTACAATTGGAGAGTATATTTTATTTTACTTATCCTTTTTTATGTGCTAGCCATTCTTGGTGCATATATATGAGACATCTCTTTCACCTGAAGCTCCGTAGTTTGGGATTTTTAATCTAATAGGAATAGGATTTAGGAATACATTATTTCTGGATTGACAATGGCTAAAGCTATAAATTGAGCCACTGGAAAATATTATAGCTAACAAGATTAGTCATTGGGAAGCCTCTTGGATTTATACTCAGTTTTAATCCTTTAGGTTCCTATAATTGGATGGCTTGTAGTTGTTTACTTTTTTTTTTCACATATGATATAGATCGCCATCACCATAATTGTTTTTAATTATAATTGTTTACAGAAGGTATCTGTCATGGTACGTTAGGATCCTCAGTAAGACACTATTCCTAACAAAGGGGGTATGATGGATTATCACTGATGTATTTTTTGCCTTTCACTAGCACTTTGTCAAGACAATTGATCCGTAGAAGGAAAACCAATAAATAAGAAACAACACAATAAGATAATAATTAATTAGAGTATACCACATACATGAACCTCACAACATTTTGGTCAGGGGCCAATTATGGGTGTTTAACACTCTTAATAACATTGTAATAGACTGCAGAGACATATTCATGTGATTTATAAAAGTAAGGACACCTTAAGAAATGTAGACCAAAGCTAAAACGGAAACATGTACATATAAATAAAATATAACTCTAGTGCTATAAAAACATGACATGTTCACCTAGAGAGAGGAAGCAATAACCACTGTAGTTATACAGAATGTTAGGACTAAAACTGTTATGTTCAAAGTTGCTAATAATACTATATTACATATGCTATATCAATCAAATTATATGAACATGAACAACTGGTAGACAGTAATAGCATTATATAGTAATAATAAGATAAGATATATTGGCAACAAATCTATTATTGCAGTATGATGCCAACATAAATGTCAATGTATTAAAACCTTATATTGTACATAGTAATTGGTATACTGTAGTATATTTCTGAGACCAGTGTTACCTATAAGTCAATGAAACAACTTAATAAAATGTATCTTAGGGAATCAAAGCAAAGGGATATATATTAATTCACAAGAACCAACGACAGCAAGGTTTCAATGACTCAGAATATGAATATTACACAAGTATGATATATACACTAATACACTAATTAATGCTTATAGCAAAATAGGACCACGAACCACAGACCACAAACCACAGAAGACTACAAAGTCTCAGAAACATTATAAAGATTTAGTACTATAAAACCACTAATGTATAAATGGAATATATAACTTATCCCATACACATTTCTTTCACAGCACATCTAACAAGCATCACTTTGAATTTGTATACAAATACTTAACTTTTAATACTTAACTTTTAATTTTAATGGAAATTACTGTCTCTGCCTTCCCTTATAGCTTCCTGTATGGTCTCTTGTATAACCAAATATACAAATTTGGAAATGGCTAGAATCTAAAAGTGAAAAAATAAACTATAACATAACACTGTTGATGAGCTCCAAATGCATAGATTTGCACACACGTGAAGTTGGAATTGACAGACATACCTGTGTGCTGCACCTCGATATGTTAAGAGGTCAATCAGAACCTCTCTCCTTGGATGTTGAAGGCTCTTCTATTTGGTGTGAAAATAATGTTTCAAGTCTAGAAAATCTCCAGAATAATTTATTCCGCAATTTGCAAAAAATAAAAACAACAAATACGGGTCCTATGCATTTCGTCTGTTAGATATAGTTATGGGCATATGCAAATATTAGAACGTTAGTAGTTTTTAGAATGAAAAATGTTATTTCTTAAACTGTGTACTTTGTCTTTAAGAGATTATACAAACTGACAATTTGTTAGAAATGGAAAACTTTATTTTTCATACAATGTTTCTTTAATGAATGACCTCTTAACCATATGCAGTGAATACGCAATTTCGTCCCCACTGAATGTAACAAGAAGTCAGGGAATTTCACACATCATGTGTACCCTTACATTTTAGTCTAAACATAGATAAGATGTTCCCACGTGAAATGACCAAGTTATGGCCTTGTATCTTTGCCAAGTTAAGATAGGTCCTAAAATGACCTAATTGAACTTTTAAGGTATAAATATGTCTGCTTATTAACATTAGGACAGGGAGGAGAGATTTTGGAGACAGAGACGCTGCTCCATTTTATCATGACTGAGAGGTTGACATGTTCAGAAGGGTATGTTGTTTCATTTTACTGATATTGCAAGTTTATAATCTTATAAACTCTGCTATAAATTATTGTAATTATTTTTTTATTTTTATTTAATAACATATTTAAAAAGACAAAACTTTATTGATTCCAAGACAATCCTTATTTTATATTGTATTCTCAATTATTTGTTTTGACTGTTTTGTTTTCCCCCCTCCCCCGTTAGAACGCCAGTTTAAACCCTTAATAACTGTCATATTTTCAAACACTGTCTGACCTTTTAACTGTCATTTTGTTTTCCTCAAAGGAGGAGTGGTTTTACTGCATGAATACTGTTGCTTTGTGTGCCATTAAACATATCTCTACCCAGCATTAAGCCTCGGCTCATGTCTGAGGGGTTATGCTATGCTTGTGTCTACACTCTGCCTGGAAGGATTATTCGCTAACTACTGGGAGAAAGAGAACCCAAGACGGTCAGAGAGGGTTGGACCGTCACACTAACTATATAATATTATGGCTAACATATCTGTACAGTTAGCCCTGCTATATTCTATGCTTTAAGATGTTATAGTGGTAAATAGGGGAACCAGCTGCGGTTACAATATAAAGACAGAGTAAAACAATCCGATAAAGTAGAAATGCAGTATAAAACTATCCCAGTGTTACCCCAGTTAAATATCCCTCCCACAACGTTTACTGGATGTCCCAGAGGTGTGTATAATTAAATATTATAAGTTGTTAAGTGTCTAATAGCATACATATTAGAAATAGTAATTGAACAGCTGCAAACACAAATTAATAGTGTTTATATGCCCTAATATGGTAAAATTAATTGAATATGTGCCTAAAATAATCTATTATCCAAGTTAACATGTTGATATATGAGATCTTAGTGCATACAATATTCTAAATATATGACGTTATGTGTATATATACCCAATAAAAATATGGATCTTGTAAATAAATGAATACATTAATAAATATTTGTAATTGTGTTATCCTAATTAATTATTGTGAAAGGAAAAGAAAAAAAACAACCCTACATATATGTACATACATACTGTATATATACACAAATAGACACAAATAAATCTCCTCTTGACTTCTCATTCATATATGTTCAAATAATGTATGTATTACAACCCGACACAAAATAAAAATTAAAAAAAGTTTTTCTTTCCAAAGCTATAATAAAAATTAGTTGGAAAAAGAGACAAACGTAGATAGACAAAAATTATTGGAGACCAAAAAAAACTAAATGAACTAATTATGATTTCCAGTATGCTTTTGTCACAGATTATAATTCACAACACTTAAAAATAAAAAATATTTTTCAGAAATATTGTCTCATTATACTTAAAGAAAATATATATAAAAACAAAAAACAAAAAGAGTGAGAAGTTCCCTACAAATTGGATATAGACATTGTTGTAATTGTAAGTAATGTAAATTTAAGAGTACTGAGAGAATTTAATTGTTTAATAGTTTTATCATAGAAGAACACTTTTTTGATTAAATCTAATATTAATTGTAATTCAGAATTGGGATTTATCTGTAACAGTGCCTCTGTAGTAAACAATATGTGGGACTTACCAAGAAAACACTTTAAAAAATAATTTTAGAACATGTAAATAATATTACATAGAATTTTAAACATCACTTGGTACCCACTCGTTGTAAATTAGAAATGGAGAAATATTTTTTTGTTGTTGTTAATTCTTTATATTTGTTGTGCTTGAGAATAACAAACCTTACACCTTACACACTGAGAAGATTGCGATGAGAAAACATGTCAGGGTAAAGTAAGTGTGTAAATATATATATATATATATATATCAGCAATTCTTTTAGAGAAAAGAAAAAGTATTAGTACATGCAGAGTAATGCAGTTGTTAAGACAGGTAGTATACAGGTTGTATGCACTTACAATGGTCTTACTAGCGTTAGTGTTAAAAAAAATAAAAGGGATAGCATGCTTGAGTTGTTAAAGTGATTCCCCCAAGAGGCCCCGTAGTGGAAAAATGGGAGAGATAAGCAACAAAAAGGCAAGAGTATATAGACAGTGGAAGGTATGCAGACTTATCAATGATATACATAAGAGAGATAGTTAGCTGTAGTAATTCAGGCAAAGGCTGGGGTTTGATGTCACCAAGTATATAACGCGTCATTCAGCTTAAGCCCTTCGTGGGCAGGACACAGTCTCCCAGTTTTATGTGGTTCATTGGGTCTTGCATCTGAGGTTGTAGGTGATTGGCACAGTGTCAGAAGTCAGTGATAAGGTCGTATTCCGTCCCGTTCTTATTGACCTCCACTAGTCCCAGGATTGTGCTGCAACAGTTTGCACATTGTGGTCTTTAAGGCCTGCTACTGTGGCCTCCACCATCTCAGGAACCCCGCTCGAGTAGTGGGAGTTACCAGTCAGTAAGAATGTAGTCAAGTCGCTTGGTAGGGGTGTAGACGTGGTTTTTGCCCGGGGACATCAATTGACTGTTGTGGGACACTTTGAGGCAGCCTGTGCTACAGCTTCTTCCAGAATGCCCTGAAGACTCTGTCCAGCCTTACCAGGATGTTAAGTGTAGCATTGGTGGGAGCATCGATACATGCTGTTTCCGCCATCTTGGGTGAGAAACCGCTTGCTTCCTCTGTCCTGTTAATTTCATCCCCTGTTCCAGCATTGGGGAAGCCTCCGAAGGGTGGACTGGGATCACCTTTGCCAGTTTGAGGGGGTGTAACTGGACGTGCCTGTGCCAAAAAACGGGCTCAGGGCACTTCAGGTTCAGGGGAGTGGCTGCCTCTCCCGCCCGATACACACTATTCACAATTTCACTTGTGGTGCCAGCGGGTCTTGCTCGGGTTGTATGACACTCCGCTGCATGCCCTTGATTGTAAGAGGTGAGTGGGCCCTTGAAATTTTAACTTTTCTTGCTATAAAAGGCTGTGGAGAGCTGGAGCAGGATTGTGCAGGAGCAGAATGAGAGTCTCCTCCATAATGGTCTGGCCCCTCCCCCCTGTGATTTAATTATTATAGGTATGGAACAGGTAGGTTCTCATTGGAGATGAGTAAATAGAGAAAAAAGATTGGTAAAAAGATAGTCCTTTTGGATTCATAAATTTGATTCTTTAGAACCCAAGTGGCTGAATGTCGATATAGTTTTAGTATAGTTTTATGATGCATTAAAATTGTACTCAGCAAGAGTTTTGTTGGGAACATTATGTAAACACGTATAAGGGTCACAATGATCCTAATATTACTGTTTTAAACCTCCCCTAATTGCCATTCCGTTAAGCAGCAAGCACCCAATGGCTGCTCCCTGTAATAAAAGACTAGCGACTGGGCGGCTATTGCTGCCCAGTTGCTAGTAACATACATGGTGGATCTGGCACAGTCCCACCCTCACAAGGATCGAGATAAATGTGACCAGTGGCGTACTAAGGAGGCGCAGGGGGTCGGTCTGCCCCATGTGTATTACCAGGGCTGGCCAGGCTTGGGGTTGTGTGAGCTGTGCGGCTGCACAGGACGCCATATTAGAAGGCAGCTGACACAGCTCACACACGCAGGGGCCGGGAATGCAGCAGTAGTACTGCCTGGAGAGTTGGGGTGGAGCCAAATCTGTAGTGGGGCGGAGCCAAGCCTGATGCAGGGGTGGAGCTAAAGGCAGCCTCCACTCGCTGCTCTTACTGCAGCACACTGAGGGGAAGCAGGAAGGAGTCCCTGCTTCCCAAACTACAACACAACAGGGACTTCAGTGACTCCACTCCTCCACCAGTAAATGACTGTGCATGACTGTCTGTATGTAACTGCATGTGTGACTTCCTGTGACTGTCTGCCTGTGGCTGTGTGTGACTGTCTGTATGCCACTGAGTGTGTGTGACTGTGTGATGCTGCCTTTAACTGTGTTACAGTCTGCCTGTAATTGTGTATGTGAGACTGCCTGTAACTGTGTGTGAGTGTGTGTGTGTGTGTGACTGTCTGCCTGTAGTTGTGTGCTTGTCTGTCTGTAACTCTGTGTCTGACTGCCTGCCTGTAACTGTGTGTTTGACTGTGTGCGAGTGACTGTGTGTCTGGGATTGTGTTCATGTGGTGTATTTGACAATATATGTGTATAACTATGTGCATCTCACTGTGTCTAACTTTCTTCGCCCTGCCATGAGCCGGCATTTAACATCATCCCAGCATTGGCGTAATTACAGAGTGCACAAAGGACATGTGCAGGAAGAGCACAGAGATCCCAGCAGCAACCACTGACAAACAGGGACTGAGGATCTACTCCATGCCTTCCAGAGCAAGGTAGGGAGGCCTCTTAATTATTAAATGTGTGTATGTATGTGATATTTGTGTGTGTATATCTAATTATGTGTGACTGTGTGTTTGTGATTGACTGTGTGCGGGTCTTTGATTGTCTTTGTGTTTGTCTGTGTTTATTTGTGTAATTGTGTGTGTATCTCTGTGGTTAAGTGTGTGTGTGTATATATATACTGTGTCTTGATAAACATATATTGTAACGGACCGTTTTGCACAAAAGGGAAAAAAAACGCTTAGACGATAATCCCTTTTTAGAGACAGGCACAGCTACTGTAGAATCACCCAAAACTCACGAATTGAATACAAGTGAATGCACCAAACTCCCGAACTGCATACAAGGGAATGCTCCAAACACTCGAACTGCATACAATAAGTGAATGCTTCAAACTCCCGAACGGCATCCAATACAGCACTCCAAATACACGAACAGGAACCATACGAACAGGAAAAAGCTCCCAAGCGGCTTACACTCCTGGCAATCAGTCCTTAGCAGCATACAGTAAATCCCCCCAAAGATGAGACAAGGCTCCGTGTTGAGGGTCAAGCAGTGGTCTGTTTAATGAGGGCTACCTGCCCAGTATTTATGCAGGTCTCCCACCTGGTGGACACTCCCCTAGGGGACCAAATGGGAGACTGTGACAAAAGACAGACAAGTAGACAAATAGGACACACAGTCACAATATATTCCCACAATGCATCCTGGCTTCCTCCCCTCTGCCCTGGGAGATAATTGGGAAGTAATTAAATTATCTCCCAAGACAAAGGCAAAACTCCATTACACATGTGGGGATACAAAACCAGTATTATACTTTAAAATACATAAAGTAACATTTATTACATAAAACACAGACATGTAACATATCCCCAGATAGCTCAGGTCTGAGCGCACATTATTAAGCGAATGGCGCTCAGACCACACGAATACAGTTTAATCGCCATGGAGCCAAAGTCTTTACAGTCAGTTTCATACGAATGGGCTCCATGGGATTCCTATCTGGGGTATAACACATTCAACCAAAACTACCGAACACCGGGCCGTTCGTGCACTTCCACTGAACAAGAAGGGAGGTCGGCGGCTTCAGCGGTGTTCGCGCAAAGCTGTGTCCAATTTTAGTTCCATGAAAATAGGGGCGAACACCGCTGTGCATTCGTATGTTTAAAATGGCCACGACCTCGTGTTCAGGATACGAATGGCGGCCACCCAGCATTCGTCAATTAAGCTGCGGTTAACCGCAGCTTCAGGGAGGTTAATTGCCGGCACACTCCAGTTCCCAGGTGGTCTATTCATTTGTGCGGTTGTTCGGTAGATTGAATCTACCGAACAACTGGCAGAAAAGCACGAATACAGCTTTTCTCCAGGCGAAATAAAGTCTTTTAAAAGGGGGCCATAGTCCAGAGGCAGCAGGCGAGCAACCAGGCTTCTCCAATGCAATGTGGCGAGATTGGTCTCGTCACATATATATTATGACATAAATTTGGATATACAGGGCGGGCCAAAAATCAGATACAGGTGTGAGAAGTCAATAACACACAAACACACAAACCACAGATATACACCTGTTGTGTTATTGTTTGTGTATATAAATGTGCATGGTAGATAGCTCCCTTATTTGGTGTCCTTAAATATTTCAATCCCACATAAGGATAACAAATAAGGGAGTTATCTACTAAACAACTGAAATTAAGAAAAGGGCTTTTAAAAATGTTGATCTTTTAGCTGTTTAGTAGATAATTCCCTAAATTGGTGCCCCTATGTGAGATTTACATATTTAGAGATATCAAATTAGGCAGATAGCTCCCTCATTTGGTGTCCTTAAATATGGCAATCCCACATAAGGATAGCAAATATGGGAGTTATCTGATAAACAGCACCCTAATTTAAGAGGTGTCAGCCAACCGACAACAAAAAATCTGGGTGGCTAATGAGAACTATATGCAAATTTGTTGACTGATGCCAACGTGCACTGCATGCTGGCTTCGGGCAGCCAATGGAAGCACATTACCCCATCACTTAGTGAAAAGTTTTAGTGCCCCCCCAGTTTTGATTGTGGTATTTTATGTGCCGCCGCCCCCCCCCCATATATTGTTCCTAGAGTCGCCACTGCATCTGCATGTGTGTCTGCGTATCTGTGTGTGACTGTGTGTCTATGTATCTGCATTTGTGTCAGTGTGTATGTATGTGTGTGTATGTGTATATGTGCATACTTCTCAGAATCTCGCCAACACTACACACAAATACACCCCTGCATTTTTAACGTCAACACTACATACAAACCCCACCATTATATATAACCACACCACTGCATTCAAAAACCACACTACATAAAAATGCATGCCTGCATTCAAATGCCAACACCACATACACACACCCTATATTCACTTACAAATGCTCCATACAAAAATATGCTTACTTTCAAAAACATACACACTGCTTAGTGCTAAATATATAAAATCAAATGTGCCAAATGCTCTAGGTACTCCCCTGAGTGTGACTTGCCTTTCAGAGCACTCTGATTAATGGACATCAAAGCTAATCAATCAGAGCACTCTAACTTATATTGAATTTGAAAGTCCTTATAAACTTACAATCTTAGCTGTATGAATCCCTCAATGGCTGGGGTTTTTTTTTTTTTTTGGAGGGGGGGAGAGGTTGCAATCTAATCTTTTTTTATTTTAAAACACATTTGGTCTTAATATTTTTCGGCATTCTTTGATGCTGAAGAAAATATGAATAAAGAAAAAAAGACATCTAATGTGAAGTAAAAATGTTATAGTTAATAGATTTATTAATTAACTCAAATATAGTGTAGAGCTTTAATAAAAACTTCACATGTACCAAAAAATTCCTTTGACTAAAGTGCTTGTGATTAGAAAATTGCTTTATATTACATAAAGTGCTAATCAGTAGAAAATAAGTTTCAAATAATGTTTTGAGCAGTGAAATCGAAAGAGCTGGACCTTGTGAGGTGGAAAATACAGCTCATGTTAAAGATCTTCCGTACACTGTCAAAGAAATGTCCATGCGTTAAGCATTCACTGTATGCAATATAATTTAAATGTGGTCATTAATAAAAAAGTTATTGACTCCTCACACCTGTATCTGATTTTTGGCCCGCCCTGTATATCCAAATTTATGTCATAATATATATGTTTATCAAGACACAGTATATTTAAACCCACCTCCATAAAAATATTATTAACAAAACATCTTCAAAATGTCACATACATTTGCATGAATAAGCCAAAAAAGTTTGTTTTTTTCTTTTTCCACAAACAAAAATCCAACTTCTTCACTAGAAATGTGCTTTCAAATATCTTAATAAGAATTCTAATAACATTTTCTTTTGTGCATATGTGTTAATAAAATCTTAGCTAGAAAAATGATCTGTATAAAGGCCATTATTTAGAAACATAGAAAAATAGAAACATAGAATGTGAC